CCCAAGTGAAGATTTCCCCCCACCTTTCTTTTTTTTTTCTTTTTGGAAATATGATGCTGTAATATACTCTCATTCTCTGTCTCCTCTGTGACTGTTTTTTTTTTGTTGTTGTTGTTGTTGTTTTGCACCTCTCTCTTTCTCTCTCGTCTTTGTCTCCCTTTCTGGGACTTTCTCTTTGCCTTTCTCTTTCTCATTTTGCCTCTGACTCTGTTTCTCAATCTTTTGTCTCCTATTTCTGCACTTTCCTCCTTCCTTCTGAGTGTTTGTCTCCTGATCCCTGTTTCTTTGGTCTGTCACTCTGTGTGTTGTGAGCCTGTGTCTTGTTCAGTCTCTCTCTTTCCAACACTCCCTTTCTTCCCTATCCCCTCAACTGATTACAGTTCCTGACCTTAAATTGAGCAAGAATCATAAGAGTTGCAGGAGTGGCATGGCATACACAATTGTGTTAACAGCAGTGATCTTCAAGGATTGCAGAGGAGAAAGCCTGTTGCCCTTGTCTAAGCTCTATTTATTTTAGTGTTAGCCTAAACCCACTGTAATGCACCATAGTTATATCACTGAGCATGGAAAGGGGTACCTGAATCTGGTGTAAAATAATGCTATATATTCTTAAAATAGAAACACTCTAAACTCTTCATTTATTGTTGCTAGATCATTATTTGAGAATGGTTTCCAAAATTCTAGCCCTTGGATCATGGAAGTTCCTTAGGTCCATTTGCCTTTAGAGGGTGTGCCAAGCAAAACTATTTTCAAAGTAAAACTAAGATATGATTTGCTTTTTCTCTATATTGACAATTACCCAGATGACCCAAAAGCAATGGTAAATAAAACTGTTGGATCCTTAACTCAGTTCAAATTGGTAATAACAAACTGTTGGTAGTAATCATTATATTTTTCACCATTGTTTATGTGAAATAAACAAACTAAAATTTTAGTTTACTTAGCAGTCTTCTTTATGAAGTAATATGGATTATTTTTTATAATTTTCCTCTGAATAAATCTTGTTAGTATTCTGTGTAATGAACTCTGCAGTCTGAATAAAGCACTTTCTCTGCAAACTGAAGTAGGATGCTGTTTTGAGCAAAAGCACACTTGTGATTATTTGTGTGAAAAACTAAACCAACCACTTTCATTGTGACTTAATACCTTTGTGACTTAAAAGTGTGATGATATTCAAATAAAAGTTATGGAAACTTGGGCACTTGAAACAGATTTCTGAAAGTTAGAGTGACTTAGTCATTTCAAGGAAAGCAATTATTTTGTATTTGTATTGGTTGCCATTGATCAAATATGAGCTTTCAAGTGAAAATTAAAATTTCAAAAACTCTTTATATGCTACCATACCAACTTCCTAATACTTACAGATTTTTGGATGATATTGGTGATGGTCTTAACAAATATTAATTATTTTGGTATTGTTAATCTCATAATTTGAAGGTGTGCATAATTTAATGAGCCAATATTTGCCAGGTGACCCATGCATGATGACCAAGTTTGCATAGGTAAAAGATGCTTTACCAAGGACAGTGGGGTTTAATATAACAGTATGAAATATAATATGTTGTCATTTCAGATTTTACATTGCAACACACCTCCTTAGAAACAATTACTTGGAATGTTACTATACTATTAAAGAAAAATATCCATGGTAACTTAAATGACTTTGGAAACCTCTCTCTCTTTTCTAAATAAAAGTCTTCATCACTCTGCATTTTCTTCATGTGTTTCCACCAAAAATATCACATAAGTTTATGTTCAGTGAATCTGGCTGCCTTTAGCTAGGTAGACTTTAGGAGAATTCACCAAAAAATGTGGAACAATTCAATGTTCCTCACTAATATTTTTTGATTGGGAAAGTATTTTTTAAAAAAATATGCCATGGTGTTCTACACCGTGAATTTATAATGTATTTAAATTAATTATTTTTAAGTAAATAACTGACAATGACAATATTTTAAAAGTTTCTCAGTTTTCATTACCAAAGCAATAAAAATAAATTAATATAACTTACATAAATTAATACTTTTCAGGGCCTTCATCATTTAAAAAGTGCAATTGGACATTGACTCAAAAATGTTTGAGAACTGACTTAATATAGTTTCCTATATCTTTATGCCTAACTATCTTAGTACAAGTTCCCAGAAGGAATTAGAGTATTAATGATGCATATTCAATTAAATCACACCTTTACTTTGAATCAGTAATCTCATACCAAACCTAGGTACTCCAGTTTCTAGTTCTTGTCGAGTGAGTAAACTTGCTCAACAGTATTTATTATTGTCAGTTGTTGTTTGTTCCATGTTGATTCTGGGAAAGTTTTTTATACAATCAGTACCTACTTGGATTTATTTATTTGTTCTAAGGTCATCTGGGCATTACAACTATATTTTATCTACATCTGATACTTTAAAAGAATACTGTGGAAGTAGTAATTTGAACTAGTTATTAGTAATTCATTACTGCATAAATAACTGCCCTAAATCTTAGGGAATTAAATTTTGTTTCCTTACAGTTCTGTGGGTGTGCACTTTGGTCTGGGCTCAAGTCACTGGAATTTGTGCTTGTCTCTTCTGGGTCCTCATGCAACTGCAGTCGTGTTGCAGCCCATCTAGGTCTGGGTGGTATGATATGGTCATGTCAATGTCTGGCAGTAGGCACTAACTGCCAGGTACGCCATATTTCTCTGAAACTCTGGGGTGGTTCTTCTTTTGGTGACTCAAGAGATCCAAGAGGACAGGAATAGAAGAATGAAAGACTTCTTAAATTCTAGGCCCAGAAGTTTCATTATGTTATATTCTATTGGCTAGACAAGCCATAAGACAAGGCTATGTTTAAGATATGAGGAAATCATATCTCAAGCAACTTTAGAGTTTAAATGACATAAAGAACTGGGATACTTGGAGCTTAGAGATCCCTATTTCTTTTTTTTTTTCTTTAGTTTTTTTTTATTATTGATTTTATGTTTTTAAATACACAACAGTGGGATGGACTACAATTCTTATAAGACATATAGAGCACAATTTTTCATATCTTTGTATATAAAGTATGTTCATGCCAATTCAGGTCTTTATCCATGTACTTTGTTTTGTTTTTTTTTTTGCATTACAATTCTTATTACACGTATGTAGCACAATTTTTTCATATCTCTGTATATAAAATATGTTGACACTGAATTCGAGTCTTCATACATGTACTTTGGATAATGATGTCCAACACATTCTACCATCCTTGCTAATCCCCTGCCCCTTTCCTTTCCCTCCCACTCCTCTTCCCTATCTAGAATTCCAGATCCCTATTTCTGGGAGATGGTGTTATGCTGCCCATGATGGTGCCACAGGAGCTCACGGGAGAGGTCTCAGCAAGCTCTGAAATGGCAGAATGATTGGCTCTAGAAGGACTCAAAAAATCTGTAGGCAGACTACTGCTAACAGTGTGAAAGGTGATTGCTAAGGCAAAGTGACATTTGCAGACAGAAAGGACTAACTAAGCTCCTTATTTCCCTTAGCCTCTCTCCAGTGCATCCTATTGCAAAACCTAAGAGGAAGTTAGCTGGCAAAGGAAATGTGTGGTGTGTGGTGTGCAGAGTCTCAGCACCAAAATCTCAAAGTAGGATATAGAAGCATGGGTTTGGAGTTAAGAGATAATAATTTTAAAACATAAAAAATTTTTAAGAGATAATAATTTTAAATTTCTATCTGGCCTGGCCTATATTGAAAGGGAAATAACAACAACCTTCTTTATTCAAAAAGACTGTACCTACAATGAATCTATCAAAAAGACTTGAGATGTCAGTATTATCTGATGGAATCAGTAGCCTCTTTTTTTTATAACTAACTTTTGAAAAGAGACAACATGTGTGCCATCTAGTATACTTACAATTACTGTTTTTTTTTTCAGAAATAGAAATCCAGAAAGCCACCAGGAGAGCCAAGCAACAGAATTTGTTCCAAAGTGACTAACTTAAAATTGATCACTATGACATGCCTCCTTAAGCTTGAAATGTTTCATATAATCAGGTGTTCAGTGTTTCCATTACTGTTATTTGCATAATGGGATTTTATTTAATTATTTTATAGAAGATTCTATTGGAGTGAAACTAAAATAGCTATTAAAGGGTATAGATCTAGGATGATGAATAAGTATGATTTCATTGCTTCTTATATGATTGTAGTGTAATTTCTTTCAATAAATTTGACTTGTAAGCTGTGTGTGTATGTGTAAGTGTGCTTGTGTTTGTGAGGGAGAGGGAAAGAGAAAGAGAGAGAGAGGGAAAGAGAGATATCTAAGAATAACAACCATTGAATTTGCTCAATATTTGCATCAGAGCCAAATTTTCTAGCAAGTTTATGAATGAAGTTTCAATTTGAAAAATTGCCATAGCTAGATATATATATATATATATATATATATATATATATATATATATATATGTATATATAGTATATATATAATTTCTCATAATAATTAAGATGACAATTTAATATAACTAAATGTGTCCTAAAGCCATATTTTATTTATTCATTTTTATAAGGTATCCACAAGACTCTTAATGTGAAAAAAGTCTATATATTCAAATTATTTTTCTTTAACATTCTAACTATATCTTGGTGGTTCTCATACTTCCTCTTATCTATATTGTATTACTGATATTTAATTCATTTATTTAGAAGCAAATTTACTGAGAATGCTCAATTTGATGTGATAGGTTGTTACTTTAATTATCATTTTCTAATATATATTTAAGATTGCATATTGATTCACAAAACAACTATGATAAAATTTATTATCTGCACATACAAACAATAGTGTCATCGGTGATGGGTACATCAGACTGGATTATATACTTGCAGACTAGAAATACCTATGTATTATTTTTTTTTAAGAATCAGAGCCAAAACAGCCAGATGGAAAATTACATGAAGAACTTGATACAAGAACTGTTGGAGAAATTAAGTTTTTTTATCACATATTTCCAAGCGTTTTTGTTTCATTTCCTTTAGGAAATTCACTGAAGATGTTTTCAAGATGTAGAATCCCTATAATTTGAAGTGTCTCAAATGAAGGTGGAGAATCCATGTTGAAATTGCTTCATGTTGTGGTAAGAGAATGTGATTTTAATATGTTGGGCCTTGAAATCAGTGACAAGAAATACAGTGGTGTGTATGTTTTGTGTGTGCATGTGTGTGTATATGTGCAAAGGTCAGGGGGGGGTGGGTAGAAAGAAATAAGGAAAAAAGATGGAAAGAGAAGATGTATAAATATGTGATGGCTTTTTTGTCATGAACAGATAATGCAAAAAATAATAAAGATTTGTAACATAGGCTATAATCCTGATATTTAAAAAAATACTTCTTTATTATTTTGCAATGATTATTGTCTAGCTTCTGAATTGGTATAGGGTACCACAGGTAACTCAAATTTGTGGTTGATTTCCTACTATGTGTATGTCTGTTATTTATGTTAGTCCATGTTTTCACAGTAGCCCTGAGGTAGGTATTGTGATCTACATGGTACAGATATGAAGACAGAAAATTCAGGGAAACTAACAGCTTGCCCAAGATACAGTAGCTAGTTAATGGTGTGAGAGTGACTTATCTAAGCTCTGCCTTTTCTGCTAACATATTACTTCTAGCATTTGTGATAGGTGAGGAACCAAAAATTTAACATAGGTTGAGAAGAAGACCCTCAAGTTTTGAACGGTCATTTTGAAAAGAGCCATAGTTGCCTTCTCTCATATATAAAATCATGGTGAAAGGATTTTGTTTGTATTTCACTACTCTTAAAGAGAAAAAATATTTCTGTAAGTCATTACATAGATGATGGTATTTCACAGAAATTGAACATTATAGAGTAACGGAATATTTTAGGTTTTACTTGCCATAAAGTGAAAATCGATTGGCTTCCTCTATGCAAATAACTTGTCATGGATGATGACAAGATTTAGTGCAATAAGTATGAACCCCTACTTTATGGTTATCTGGTATACAACCTTGAGTAAGTAACTTAAAAAAAATCTCATTTCTCTTTCCTGTAGTTTGTCATGAAGTTGTTTCAAGACTCCATTGAAATATGAGATAATATATGCAAAGCACTTGCTATTCCACCTGACACACAGTGTATATTTAATAAAGAGAAGCCATATCAATGATATTAATGTATAAAAGTGATTAAAATAAAATACATTGTTTGGTTGTTGCTATATCCATGAAGATTTGTGATTAAAGAAATATATAGCTAGGTGTGGTGGCATATACCTGTAATCCCAGTGACTTGGGAGGCCGAGGCAGGAGGATCACAAGTTCAAATCCAGCCTCAGCAATTTAGCAAAGCCCCAAGTAACTTATTGAGATCCTGTCTCAAAAATAAAATGGGCTGGGGATGTGGCTTAGTGGTTATGCACCCCTGGGTTCAATCCCCAGTAACCCAGCCAAAAAAAAAAAAAGTGTATCTGAAAGCTAGTTTTTATTCAACATTGTATAATATTAGGCTCAAATATATTTTATTTATGCAAAAAACATTTGTTTGGGGGCAATTATAGCTTGGTGATTGAAACTTTTAGATTTCTGTATACTTTATGGACATTAGTTTGTAAATAGAACATAGGCTCTTGATCTTGGGATTCAGTAGTACCAAGGGATTTAGTTGATCTACCTATCCTACTTGAACAATTTTAGATCAATCTAAATGCCACTCTGTCCCTCTGAGTCAGATTTGCTAAGGTTATTCAACAGGGAGCCCCTTGGAAGTTTGTGAAGCATACTCTTGGGGACAGTGGTGCTTGTAGACTCTTATTTCTAAGTTGGTAACAATCAGCATCATTTCTGTGGAAGGAGATAAATTTTTACTTACATGCTTTGAAATGGGGTTAAAAATAGCAAATGCTCAATGTGAATTTCAGAGGAGGATCCTTTAATTATCCCTAGGTTCCAATGTGTTTTCACTTTTTAATGAAAGAGTAAAAGCCTATAAACTTACAGAATGTCACAAAAATATTAGGCTACAATCTCCAATATTAATAGAAAATGGCTTCCCCCAGAGCACTATGTGGAAGGAAGCAAGGCCATTCTTTACTGAAGCAATATGCATATGTGTGTGTGTGTGTGTGTGTATACATACACACACACACATATATACATATCGCTTGAAACATTGCTGATGATCTTAAATGGTAGCTATATATCTAGATCTGCTAATAGTTTGATAATATAGGAATGCTCAGATGTCTACCAAGAACTTCTTGGAATCTTTAAGATAAGGAAAATTTTGGCTCAGAGTTGGATGTGACTCATGAAGTTGAGGAAGAGAGGCATGAAGAGGTACCTAAGCAGGCAAATACTTAGCATTTTATGCCCCTATCATCAGGTCAAGGACACAGATATTATCTTACTTAGGTTTGTTCATAATGCCTGCATGATAACAAGCCCTCATCATGAACCATTTCATATTCACATGCCTAGGCCAACAGTTCCCAAGCTTTGAAGTGAAATGTGAAGTAGTTAAAATCACCAGTAAAGCTTATTAAAAATACAAGACACAGGCTATAGTTCTCAGTGTCTGCTTCAGTAAGACAGGTTGAGTCCTAAGGATGTGCATTTAAAATATGATCATTCATATCAGAGCAGTTCTAGTATACTTCACTAAGTGGGACTTAACATTTTTTCTTCCGTGAAGTTTTAAGCTTTATAGCAGAACCAGGAGCTTTGTTGTTGGAGGTGAAATGGAATGTTTTTTTTCCCCTGTAATTATTAGGACAGATAGCTAAGAAAAATAATAATAATTTTCTACATTTAACTGGTAGTAGAATAATTTTGCAAATTATTTTATTCTCTGGAAAAAAAAGTATATATTGATAGGGCAGATAAATAAACTTTTAAAATTGTGGCTTAATTAATAACAACAGGGTTTCTGACATGGCTAATGTTTAGGAAGACCTACTTCATGTATATTAATTTACCAAACCTTCATTTTAGTCCTCCTTAATATTTTGTAACCCCATTCTACACATTAACAAAAATAGATCTAGAGCCAAGCACGATGGACCACTCCTGTAATCCCACAGGCTTGGCAGCCTGAGAAAGGAGGATCACGAGTTCAAAGCCAGCCTCAGCAAAAGTGAGGTGCTAAGCAACTCAGTGAAACTCTTGTCTCTAAATAAGATACAGAACAGGGCTGGGAATATGGCTCAGTGGTCAAGTTCCCCTGAGTTCATCCCCAATACTCACTCCCACTCAAAAAATAGAATTGTAGAAGTTATTGGCTCATCAAGTTATGGAATTAGAAAATAATGGGCCAAGGTTCAATCTTGGCACCAAGACAGTGTGCAACTGGTACAGCTGCTTCCTAATCCTGAGATAATTTAATTTTCTAATCATGAAAGGTTTTATTTCATGGCAGCCAGTAGCATACACACATATGGAAACAATCAGCCTGCATTTGTTTTGTTTAAGCTCCTGAACACTTAATTCACCATCACCGGCCGAGTTAGACTTTTTGAAGCATCAGTAGAGTAGGCTTATTTAACTGCTTCACAAAACAACTCAGAAAGAAATTTTCTGGAAAATAAATATCTCAGGTATCTTTTTGCACCTTCTTATTGTTTTTCCTTAATGTGTTTGTTTATTTTACCCATTTTCTTGAGTTTTTGAATGTCATCTCTCAAGTAAATCAATTATCACAGATTAAGCCCAGCTCAGTAGGTGCTCATATAAACTCCTTGAAAAACCAAACCAAAACCAAAACAAAACAAAAAAAAAAAAAAAAAAAAAAAAAAAAACAATCAAACAAACATCATCATCAAAAACAGCTACATATACATACATACACACACACACACACACACACATTCCAGTCTTCTTTACATCTAGGTTTTTGTATCTAAGTTCTAGCTAATGGGATTTTAGCTGAAATTGCATATGCCACTCCCAGGTTGCATTCTTGAAGACTGTATATATATGTTGTTGCTTCTTTTTCTTTGACTGGCTTGGAAAATGAATGCAGCATGGGGTGTCTAGATGTGTCTTGTGTCATGCAGGCCAGGACAGCTGTCTAAAGGTGGCAGAAAAACAACATAGAAAGAGACTGTCTTCCTGTCTTAATATATAGAGCAAAATATTATTGGAATGCAGCTGTGCTGAATTTTATATGACAGATAATTAAGCTTCACTTTTTCGTCCATTGGTGTGTGTTCAGTTAATTACATGGCAGAATGTATATCCTCATGAATTCATGTGTTCTTCCATGTTTATGTTATCCAGGATTGCTTCCCACACTGTACCTCCCTTAGGAAGTCAATCTTAGTTTGACAAGAAGCACTGGATATAGCAAAGAACAGCCTGGTGATTGCATAGATATTTTGTGCACAGACCATGAACCTTCTCATCTTGTCCATCTCACTCCCTATACTAGTCTCCCAACCAACTTTTCCACTGATGCATACAAAGTTCTGTTCTCTGTCCATCCCTTTCCAAAGCAATACATAAATTTCACATTTTTTGAATTCATCTTCCTAATGCATTTATCTTTCATGCATTCAGTGTGAAGAAGGCAAATAAAGAGACAAGAGGAATAATAAAGTCTGAGATGTACTTCAGAGCTGTTGTCTTGCTTGAAGCCATTCTAAGCATACTTTAAAAACTGTATCAGGCTAGATAAATAAAATTTATGTACACATTACATTTATCAGATGTCTTAAACTTAGGCTAGTAAGATAACAACATACAAATCTGTGCAACCTACAAGAATTTCTTTGCTATCCCCTACTTTTCATCCATTTCTTCACCTAGCTTATCATTTTTATGCTTTTCTATACTCCTTGGATTTTTATTTGAGCAAAATTTTGAATACTTATTAAATTCTATAATAGCCACAGACTGGTCTCTTATGGTTGCAGTGTTCTCTTAGTCCCATGACCTGGTCCTTAGTTATTCTTTAGTAGCAGTTCTGCCACAGAAGATGCCCCCTTCCACATGACAGGCACTCTGGGTTCTAGCCTCAGATCTTTGTATATCTTGACACTCTGGGTCCTCACCTCAGATTTCTTCTTCACTTTATTTCATAGTACATTTTTCTTCATAGTACATTTTATTTCTTCTTCACTTT